CTCTTTCATTCTTAAAACTTTGTCAAAGTCAGAGACTTCATATTTGCTCCATATTTCTTGACTGAATCTTCAGTTATTACGTGGAACCTATCTTGTCTCTTTTGGAGAAAATAAGAAAACCTAATACCACACATACAACAGAGGGTGAAAAATCCCATAATATTTGGATTTTATACCAATTTTCAAAATTATTTCTTCCAATACTTTATGTTACACTCTCTCAAGTGACTGCACACTACAGATGTTTTAATAAGACCTCTTTCAGGGGAGTAGCCAAGAAGTCCTCAGAACCTTATGAATGCTGATTTTGAGCATTGAATATTGGTACACAGTGTGACCATGCTGTTCATGGTTACTGCATTCTATACTGACTCAAATGTCATGAACTGTAAAATTGTGAAGGTATCTCTATCTAATTTTCACTTAGAAGCAAAAGCTCAATAACCAATGATTTGTATTTGAGACCAAATAAAAAATCATTAGATGTCTGATTTACTTAAAATGAATCATGGTTTTGACATAAGTTTATAACACTAATTTTGTCTTATCACACTTAAAATATTTTAAGCTTGCCAAAGCTTGTGATATATTATTGAGATTAATTACTGAGTTAGTTTCAAAAATCCTTTAACTGCTTTGAGCAGTGTATATAATTAGTTTTACTAAATTGTTAAATAACATCAAGCAATAAGCCTAATACTATCATGTTATGTATTCACAATTTTTTTTTTTTGAATATGCTGAAAAACTTTATACCAGATGAATAAATATTGGAAATGGCAGACATCATTAATATGGTGACTGACAAAAACTGTAATAAACAAGTTGATCAAATGATGTCATATACTGGTAATTTACAAATACTTAATGGTAAACATTTATAAAATATAAATGAAGTGTGTCACACTGGTGTGCTAGATTTTTAGGTAAAAACTATATGATTCAACTAACTGATAAAATATACAAATGAATCTTTTCTCCTATCTCATTTTTTCCCCTTTTAACTAATTGTTTTACTATAACCAGATCATTCTGAGGGTTTTACTTGCTATTTTGATATTTTAATCATGCAAAGAAATTTTAATTTTAGAAAAAAAAAAGTGAAATTCTCTATATCACTTGGTCTTATGTGAAAATAACGTTAACTAATGGTAACCAGATGTATTTCAGGTATGTTGTAAAAGGCATGGATTTCGTTAACTAATGGTAACCTGATGTATTCCATACGTGTTATAAAGGTCACTAAAGTAATAACTAGATGTATTTGATGTGTGTTGTACAAGGAACTGAAAATGTTAATTAACTCGTATGCTTATCATTAGCCAGTGTTCATCCTTTTGCTTTTTCCTCTAATTACATATAGTTTATTGCTATGGTATATATACATATACTGTCTCTTTTTTTTTAAGTAAAATATCTTAGAAAATAAATTATTTCTTAAATTATCTTACTTTTAGTCCACTTCTTTACTACATATACAGTACTGGTTGATATTTGAAACAAATTTAATGTAAATACCAACATTCAGTTCCAATCATTTTAATCAATTCTTTGATCAATAATTCACCTGACCAATTTTACCAAACACATCATTTTCTTAAAGGTAAATTTATTCTTGAAAGAACTGGTTAGTGTAGCAAAAAAAACTGTTTTTGAATTTTATGGTTTTTACTAACTAAACAAGTTTGTTTTTCTTCTAAAATTATTCTTAATTTTGTTTTAGACAAAACAGCACAATATAGTTTCTCATTTGCTAATAAGTTATATTTTATTTTATCTGTTTTGATTATTTAAAAACTAAAACAACCTCTTTTATAATTTTTCTTTTGGAGGGATTAGCTGTGTTTGAGTAGCTTTTTGAATTTGATTAAATAGACAATTCCTTTATATTTTTATTTATTATTTGTTACATGTACAATGTTAATTGTTAGAATTAGCTTGCAAAACTTACAAGAGCCAATCAATATATATTTATATATAAATCTATATTCAAACATCATTCTTTCTCATTACTGAATGACCAGTTTGACTGAGACTGATTTTGCCATTACAAAAGTATTTCTCCATTTATAATATTAAAACGTTTAAGTTATAGAATTTATTTTGGTGAATGCAAATGTACAAATTTTTACTTAGTTTTCCTTGGTTCTCTGAATTTCTTAAATACAATTTCCACATATTCAATGGATCACTTTCAAACTTTTTTAAAATTATATACTTAAAATTTAATCTAATGTACATGTGGTTACTTAACTTTCAATTCTTACAAGTACTGGTTAGATATACGCACTCAAAGTACCCTACAATGTGTAAAATGTAACATTAGGAGTTAACATGTTTTTCATATTTTGTAGAAGATTTGTAAATATGAAACAATATGTATAATTCTCCATGCAGTAAAATTACTACAAAAATAAACTACATGATCAGTAAGTTATTCATTTTCACAGCTTTAGCTTTATTGAAATAACAACACAGCATGCAATTACAGCATCATATACTAAAAGTAAGTATAATAGAAAAGATAATCTTACAATCCCATTAAACTCGAAAGAGAGCATCACCTTTAATTCTGGTACACATGTAGAGTTTTCCAGGTGTACCTGTGTTATATTTAACTGCCAAACATAATTACAATGAAAATTCTGGATAAAGTTGCCACTTTTTGCCTCATTATGTCTAACTGAAGAAAGATCTTTTTCATCAACAACTTCATATTCTATACACAGCTATAACATCAAGAGTGAGTTTTTCTTCAAATTATTTTAAAACATTTGTTTTAGGTCTATTGCTTCAGAGTTAACCACTAAAAAAAATTACTTATTCATTTCACTCTCTAATAAAAGCTTTTAGTTTTTAACATGACAATTTAATGCTGCATGGCAGATTAAGAGTTAAAATACAACATATTATTTTCAATGGAGTGAACTTATTTAAAAGGTCATATATACAAAACATATAAAATGTGTACACATTTAATTATAATTTAAAAGCATCAAATATTTTTTAAAAGGTGTATTGTTAAGTTAATTTGGTTCATAAGTTTTTAATAACAGAAACTATTAAAAGTGAGTTTTAATGCTGATTTAATAGCAATTATAGCAAAACAAAAATTACAGTATTACTGGAAATGGGAAAGTTCCCAAATATCTAATAGCTGATGATGTCATATATCACTAAGCACAGAGTAAGCTAAGTTGCAATTTCAGCATATTATACTACATCATCCATTAAACTGTACAAACACTTCAAACATGACTGAAGCAAATTTTGTAGAAAAAAAAAAAAAAAAGATGAGTGGATTTGCCATGTAAACAATCATTATATGCCCTCATATAACAATGAATGTAAACATTGGCACTTGTGATCATTTTCCCACAATAATTTTAACATTTCTGCTTACTGTTTTATTTTGTTTTAAGGTCAAATACAAAGAAAAGAAAAGCAGGAATGACATGGTAGAGGTAAATATGTATTTGAATTTAATTTTACAATAGAATATTTAATTTCTAAAATGAGAATCAGAACATTTTAGTTAGAACATCCATATATACATGATAGTGGAAATTTGTAAATCAGAGTATTGCTTATTACTTTAGCACACAAAACCAGGCAGGGTCACAAAACTAAAGTACTATTTTGGCATGTGATCTTATGAAAAAAAAAAGTAAGGCATTGCAAAAGGACTGGATATCTGACAAGTTACTACTGTGCTGTTGCTAGGATAGAGTACAGAACAGTCTAAAACCTAATAAGGAGGAGGAGGGATGTCTTCAAGTAGAAATGGAGACAGACAGTCTAATCAAGGAGTTTTTCCTCATGTGCCACATAGCTTACAGAGTGTCAAGAGTTCAGAAATTGTCAACAGAGAAAGATATACAGAGGACATATGAAATTGGAGGTTCTTCAGGTAAACTGAGTGCAATCCACATCAAGTACAGTGTACATCAAAATATTTGAGAAAATGTAACTTACTTGGGAGCAATGAAATACATTTTAAATACTCATTTTAATAATTTGTAAGAAAAAAAGTTGTGTAACTTCTAAATAAACTCATTTTCAAAACTTTTTCTCAAATACTTTTAGTAGTGCAGTAGTACAATAGTTTTATAGCAATGACCCATCCACCAAGAAAATATGCAAATAATGCATTACAGCCCTTGACTGAAGCTGGTATAAGAAATAACAAATACCAAGAACACAGTTTCTAGAAGGTCAGTACTGCCCCATGCAGGATTTATTGAGTCTAAACATGAAGTCATGTACCCAATTCAAGAGAGTCATAAACGGTGGCAGGCAGCAGTCTACATATCTTGTGTATTGAATGTTTTTCTAAGTGGTTGGAAAACAAGGTATTCAGCAGTGAAAAATCCAAAGGACCTACTTTAGTGAGCTCAATGACTTTGGTGTTGGGGAATAAACAAGTCACATGGAAGGCACTTTGCAGTAAAAACAAATAAATAAACTAATGTGACTATATTTAACTCATACAAAAATCTTGAAATCTGATACCAGTAATTACTATAATAAATTTAAAAGTTTACTATACATACATTTTCACAAATATAGCTATGTATACTTACATTCAACGTCAAACCTACATATCTATGTATTTAATTATATGTCACTTACAGTTGTATCATCCTTTTAAAGCATAGTAGGCTATAAAGCATACTTTATAGCCATTTACACTGAAATAAGTCTTTCTAGTTTTGAATAATAGAGGGAAATTCTGAAGTTTCACATTAATGGGATTTTGTGACCAAAGAACCACATGGACAACTGATTGATTTAAATCAATACAACTTAACAGACAAGTTTGGGCAACATACTGAGCAACTGCAAAAGGCTAGAAATCTAAAAATGTCTTCTGTATTCTAGTATCATATACTAAAATGAAAAATACAGAGCAACATAAAAAGTTATTATAATAAAAATATAAATAGAAAAATAAGTATTTGTTTTAACTTATCTAAATTGTCATATGTTGACAACATTCTTTTTTTATCTTTATTTTTTTAGATGCTTTAATATATTTAATGATTAATACAAGTATACTGAAAAAATTGAATACATTGTAATTGATGAATTTAACCTGCATGATGGAGACTTGAATACCTACAAATACTTACAGACAAGTTTAGTAAAAATAACATTTAATATAGTATATTGTGCCTCTTAGTGAAACAAAGTAGTATTTCAGAGAAATGATATATTCTCACTTTCAGACCTATTATTAGCAACATATCTACTCATGGTCCAACCTACTGTAAACCAACAAAAAAAAGATGTAGTAAGATTAATGCTGAACAACTAATTATTCAAGTGGTAAATACTATTTTTGTTATTTCAAATAAATTTTGTATTTTCTTAAACATATAATATTTGCACAAGAAGGTAACATGAGCCACAATAGTACACTAGAAATGCACATGGAAGTCTGAAATAAAAGTTAATACCATAACGTCAATGGATGTTAAAAAAAAAAGGTAATAAATACCCTTTTAAGAATAGTCTCATATAAGAAGTCTAAACTTTTTTTTATAGTATGTATCAGTTTAAATTTTTTTAGTTGAGTTTTCTTATGGTTAACAAAATTATTCTATAACAAAATATTTTTTTTCTCATTTTTGACTAGTTTCTAAAGTAAGAATAAATATTCTGAAGATAAATGCAAATTCTTACGAATATGGGAAAAATACGAATGATTTTTGATAGAACTTTAATAAATATTATTTAACAATACTGGTGGCATTTAATGTTATTTAAAAACAAACATCATTTTGTCACACACACAAAAAAGTATGCTGAACTGATATATTTTCATAACATTGTGAAGATCAAGTAACAATTTCTTTACAAGTATGTAATAAGTTGTAGAAAATGATTAATTTTGGTTGGAGTAACAAGCTCTATTTTCCTATGACAATTTAGAAATCAACTTTTCAGCATCTAATACACACCTTTATGACATTCAAATGAAGACTTGTGTTAGAAATTTGAAAATTTTTCTTCAACTACTACAAATGAATAAGGTTACAGGTACATACAGTTATATCTGTATTCATTTGAGTTCTTAAAAAGTGACTTACTAGCAAGTGCTAGGTGGTGTATGACAGGTCTCACATTCAAATCTGAGGTAAGGAAATACATACATTGTAAAAATAAATTATCAGATATCATCCAGAATGGAGAAACATGTTCAGTAGTGAAATACATTACTCTTTTACAGTGTAGTCAGAAACCTACACATTTCTTTTGCTAAAACACTTTGTTAAGTACTTCTAAGAATCCTCATAAATACTGCCTAAAACACAAACACACATACCAAAGTCCACAAAAATGCTAGACAGCAAAAAGCCTTTAATATGTAAATAATATAAATTTCCAAATCAATGATGATGCACAAGCACACAAAATAGCAGACTATGACATATCGGATAATTTAAATTGATTGCTGCAATGAGTACAAGACAAGAATAAAATAATGAAAGATGTATATGCATAAATTTATGGTAAACTATACACTACAATAAAACATTGAATATAACAATTACTTGAATTAATTATTTTCTGTTTCTTGTGAATGGAACAAAACTCAAATAGGTACTTGATTATTTCATTCTATCAGGTTGTTTTTTTATCATTTTTGTAAAAGGGAATTATTAAATGTTTTATCACAGTCTTAAACACCGCATCCTATATAAATACATACATGCAACTTCAATATTACAAAAGCATAATCTTAAGCATTCATGCTTATTTAGATATTAATTAAACCCACAACTTTATATTTTTTCCATGATTAAAGTTCTTTAAAAACTATTTAATATATTACACAATTAAATATTAAATCTATATACTCTAGATATATTAAAAACTAATGTGGAGAACAATTTATAAGTTATCTAATAGGCATGTGTATTCTATAACCAATACATCAAACTCTTTGAAAAACAAACTTTTAAACAGTTAGAACTTAAATTGATTTTAACTTTAATATTTTAGTCTGATATAGCTCATATAACCCCATATTTGTCCAGAGGTTCACAGATCTTACTTAAAAGACTAATTATCTTTCTCATTACATATTTGCCAAGGTAGGAGTCTCACTAAATTTGGTCTTTTAAGTATGACAAGAACTTGTAAAAATCAAAATGATATTTGCAAATGTTCTGAAATAAAAAAAAAATTACATATATTTACCATTTTAACAACAACTTCCACTTTCAATTTCACCCTCTTCTATTTGGAAATGTGCTCTAGGATTTGCAAATCCCACTTTTATACCATCCCAGCCATTTTGAATCTTGAATACACCACTCTGAATCTTTTCATATACATCTTGAGCTATGAGACGAAAAGCTTCTTCCACATTTTTACCTGTCTTAGCAGAGGTCTCTATGAAATGAACACCATAAAATTCTGCAAATGCTTTGCCTTCTTCAGAGCTCACTTCTCTCAAATCTTCTATATCAGTTTTACACGCTACAACCTGGGGTATAAAATTACATAAATCACAATTTTTGCAACAAAAAACTTCTATAACTGAGATCATATGATTGCATACAGATTGGGTATGTGAAATGATGAAGAGGTAGAGGAAAATAGCTCACCACTGAAAATAATTTAGTGTTATAATGTTCAAAACAAAAGTCAGGTTTATTCTAACACTTGCTTTATACAGTTACTATACAAAACTCTGTACTTATGTATATATATGCTTATACCTGGCATGTATCCTCAGGGTTCCTGTGTCTTCCCTGTGCATTGAACGAGTACATCAGCTAGTTATTTAATATCATACAGAATTTTAAGTTTGTTTGTTCTAGAGCACCGTGTCCACTGAGGGGAATTTAATCTTGGATTGTAGCATTGTAAGTCTCTAGACTTACTGCTGTCCCATCAGAGGACAATCACATTTGTAGGGGTTAGGGACAGGTTTGTTAATTTGATTGTTTGATGACTGAATAAGGTGAAAGTAAAAGATTTTTTATTAATATAATTCAGTAAAACTAGACCATTGTTACCAGAGGAGTACCTCAAGAGTCAGTTTTTGGGCTTCTTTGCTTTTTCTTTTTTCCTTTAATGATATTGATAGGAAATTTTCTGATAAAATTAAACACCTGGGTATATATAGCTGTACTCAGGATGTTAAGGTGTTACAAAATTAACTGAATCAACTGAGAAGTTGGACTAATATTTGTCAAATGACCCTCAATTATAGTAAGTGCAAGGTAAAGCACTTGAATTATAATTTGGATCAAATTTCCACTATAGATGGGAACAAAACAAAATAACTGAAGAAAAGAGAGCTTTGCATAGTTGTGGATAAGCCATTCAAGCAGTGATCTAGTTACTGCTTCTAGTAAAGCTAATTCAAATCATTGGTTAGGCCTCATTTGAAATGCTGTTTTAGTCTCTTTATGAGAAATATTGGTTCAGATGAGGGCTACTACGACAGTTTTGAGAATAGGTTATTTCATAAGGACAACTAGGTATGTTAAAAATTATCTCTACGGGTGTGGTGAATAAGTTGGTTCATTGGGTAGAAAAGTGGCTGGATGGAGGAAAGAGTATTGTTACAAATGGAGTTCAGTCAAACTGGGTTAATGTCACAAATTGGGTACCTCAGGGCTCATTATTAGGACCTTTGCTCTTTTTAATCTACATAAATGGCACAGACAAAGGAATGGTCAATAAATTACTTAAACTTGCTGATGATATTAAGGTCTTGGGTGATGCTGGCTGTGAGAAGGATTATGTTGCTTTACAAAAGATTCATTTGGTTAGTTGGGTGAATAAATAGCAGATGGCTTTTAATTATATAAAGTGCAATGTAATGCATGTGGGTTATCATAATTTGAACTATAAGTATTATTTTGTTGGGAATAACCTTAACAGTGTTATGGAGGGAAACAATCTTGGTGTTATAACTAATCTGTTTCTTAAAGCCATCCCAAAAAGTATGCTTTTGCTGGTGGTAGAGCAAATAAAAATTAGATTTTATCTACAGATATATTAAACACAAGTTTAAAAAACTTATAATTTCAATGCACAGGTCACTGGCTAAGCCACATTTGGATTACTTTGTTCAATCATGTGTTCCTTACTTTAAGGACATAGAAATGTTGAAAAGAGTGCATAGAAGGGCTACTAGGATGATACCTGGGATTGAAAGATTGTCAAATGAAGATGGGCTGAAATTATTTTCTTATGAAAAATGAAAAGTTAGAGGGGATATTATTGACACATTTAAGACTGTTAAAAGAATTGATAACGTTGATGCACCATCTTTTTTCACACTTAATGATGAAAAAGGTAAGACTAAAGGCCTGATAAATATTTGAAAAATAAAGGCTGGCTTTCAGTTTTTCTTTTATATAGTTTAATTTGGTATGGGACAGTACAGAATGACCAATAGGTACCTTGTAGTTCTTAAATGTTACATTAAAATTTCTTATCTTCTCTTGAGAAAAAAAAGGAGTAATGGGTAATCTTATTGAAGTTTACATGATTATCTGGGGGAACCAATAACCTATAGCCCTCTGCATAATTTATTAAATCTTTGTACCATAGTCTGAAGACAATAGGATGAGAGGGCAGAAGTTTAAGATTTGGAAAATACAGGCTAGGCTCCAGTTAAGACAGTTTTATTTTTCTAATAGGGTAATGGACTAATGGAATAGTTAACTGCCAGTACTGTACAATAGCTTATGAGGATAATCAATGATTATCTGAAAAATAAAGAGTGGGTTTAAATTTTTATTTTACTTAAGGGTAAGTGCACGTGCAAGGACAGCCTTGAAAGACTGGTATGTTACAAACAAGCTATACCAATATTACTATTTTTTATTTACATAAAGCATACAAGAACATGTACTCTTTTTGTACCCTCAATTTAATCACAAGAAACCTAGAACTACAGTATTTAAACAATTTATTATACTTTTATGTTTGTTACTCAAGAAATACCAAAATGTCTGCAATGTAGTATACAAATATACCACATATTCATTTCTTCTTGTAATATTATATTATCTATTTTGTATTTGTGCAGGTTTCTTATAACAAATGGTTTTGTTGCAGTTGCTTTTGTCATTCTCTATGAAATATCTGTTCTGCTTGTGGGTGGTTATGCTGTAATACTGACCATTGTGCAAGAACGTTGATAGCAGTGTTCTCAAATAGTAGGTCATATAATATTACAAGGTTACAATTTCCCTTATACTTCAAGGAGATTTATCAATACTGACACAGGTGGTGCACATGTCCTGATAATATATTGTTACGTATATTGGATATATATAATACTATGATCTCTGCTCCGACTCTTGAGTAATAGATTTTAAAAGGCTTCAAATTTATACATACACCATTTTCCACAACTAGAAGGACTACAACCAAGAGGAAAAACTGGCCATTGAAGGGAGATTGTTGTTTAAAAGAGTTGTCAGGTCTCGGAAAAGCCCTTTCCTGGACAGCTAACTTCTTGCTGATGCTACAAAAGTCCATGACTTCCATCTCATTACAGTCAACAGCTCTATAATAAGAATTGCTGATGGCTGTTCATGCCCTTCCCCTGAGGACCGATCTCAGTGCAAAGGAAGCACATATGATCGAGGATAGTAATTGTGGCATGGCATCTAGCAAGTCTGAAACTGGACAGAGTGGACTGTATAGGATTTCCAGACCTGTGCCAAGCAGCCAATCCCATTTCTGGTTGAACCCATGAGAAGAGACTAAAGAGAAACTAGAAATGTCATTGTTGGATGGCATCCACCAATGGGAGCTATCTCATCAGATAACAAGCACCAAATGGTGAAGTAGGTGAACCATGAGGCAGTGATGAGCCTCTTCATGCTGAGAGGCATACTGTGAATCACAGAGGAACCTGTGGCTGCACAAAGCTGATAAACAAGTGCTGACTACAACTCATTGCTCTACCATCCTGGAAAAGGAATCAAACACTTGGATGAGAATTTGAGTCCCTACAACATAGTGCCCATAGTGTTGAGAACATCTAAGTTAGGTGATAGCTGGGAGTTGTAAGGGACAGGTACTGGTCATAATTCTGATTTCCCTTGAGTGAGATTTAGCAGATATCCCCCTATATTAAAGGGTACAGTGAAGAATGATTTAAGTAATTTCCTGAAGCATTTCAGAGGTAAATGGCCTGGAATAGCTGAACTCCATAACAGGCTTTCCAGTACTTAGTACAGAGTTCAGATGATCCAGTTCTAGATTCCATCAAGCATTTGAATGAGAAGCAACTGTTGGACTGTGAGACAGCCATTATTGAGTTATGCCAGAGAAAAGATCCAATGAAAAACAGTAATCTATCAGGCCAAGTTCAAGGCTCAGAAGAGGGGTGCCATGGAATATTTGACCATTTATGTAGATAATATGCATATTTGCATGGCAAACTTACCTGCAACGATCTCAATGGATCATGAGGATATCTTCACAGAAAAGTTTGTGGATGGTCAACTCAGTGAAATGATAAGGTATCACTTAGCTGTAAGAGACCTTCCCACCTTTACAGAAACAGTTTCTATGGTGATACAGTATAAAGCGGTAACATTGAATCATTTGCAAGAGTAGAAGAAGGCTGTAACAGCAGCTGCAATGATTTCAACTTGGACAGAAAGTCCTACCCATGCCCCTAAGTCATGCCAGATTTGAGCCCAATCAAGGGTTAACCAACCATTTGTTCATGGAAGAATATTTTGTTAATACAATAATAAATTCACAAACAATGATTTATAAACATAATGAAAATGTTATTCATATAAAATAGTTTCATTGTACTTATAAGTCACTGTTTGTCAATTCACACATCCTGATTTTGCAATGCAACCACAATGGTATCTGGTGAATGGGCAGTACGATCCCAGTCTTCCCATGGTTTACATATGGAAACCTATGCCACTGATGCCTCCACCTGTTAAGCACTAGGTCACTACTGAATGAATTGCCCACACCTTGCCAAGCAGCAAAGTAGACAAGGCTATCAGTTTTGATCCAATGATACAACAGGTGCATGGTAACCAAAAGCAAGTGGTGAATACTGCTGCCACATATCTTGAAAACAAGTGGACTCTAAGTAAAGTCACCAAATTGGGGGGTGGGGGTGCAACAAGAAAGAGAAAAAGTGGTGGCCACTCAATATGAGTTTCATTCTGGCAAATGGAGATAAACTAGCATGAATGGAAAGGTAATGCTCTGACTATGTTTAGGAGGTATTGCTTACAGAATGAAGGTAGTTGATGCCAACTTCAGTTCTGAAATAAGCATCCCTAGGATGGAAGTAGTGCAGAGCTTAATGGTCAGTTTTGTCTGTGCAACAAGTGAAATGATGTTCCATAGTATATTTATCCAATGTCAGTCAGACTGACTCCCAGGAACAGTGGACTGCATGTATGTATATGGGAAAGAAAGTCACATTATTTTCATATACACAAGTAGTGTTATCTGATTTATTATGTGCCTTTG